TGGGGAATTCTGGGAGTTGAAGTCCACGCATCTTAAAGTTGCCAAGGTTGAGAAACACTAGGTTAAAGGCACGTGGCTAGAAATTGGGTGGGTGATTTGGGCCCAATCAATCTCTCAGCCCCAAGAAGGAGGAGGCCAAGGACTGCCACAAAAACCACAGAGACTCGCCCCGGGAGTCAAGACTGACCCCCGAGACCAGTTCCAACAACACAAATACTCATCTTTGCCCTGGAAAGAGAATTACCGTGTAGGACTCCACCAGCACCGTTGTCTCGCGGGCCAACTGTTGTTCCTGGTCAATGTTGTAGCCAACGTAACACAGCTTCTCTTTCATCATCCTGACCGTCTCAAAGTCAGCCGAGTGGTTGAAGGCGTAGCCGCGAAGTAACAAGAGCTGGCGGATCAGAAAGACAATTGTACACTTGGATTTTCTTGGCGTCACTTTCACAGCCCTCCAATCACACATTTGGATTGTGTCTCCAGTCATTATTGTATACCGGTGCCCAAAAAATTGCACTGTCCGTGACTCTCCGTGTACTTTGGTATGCAGACAATGCCATATGGTTGATTGAGAACAGTCTAATTTTCAGTGAATGTTGGACAGATTGTATGATGCAACAAGAAGTACAAGGATGTACCAAAGACCATAGTTGTTACATTTGAAAGAAAAAAACAAAGTGAACTGTTTGAAGTTATACTTAAATAGCTAAAAACCAGATAAATGTGTCTAGGCTGGTAGACTGCTTCCTAAAAGTGGGAAGTGCATGGAGATTTTAAAAAGAAAGGACTTAAAACAAAAATATATTTTCAACAAAGATTTAGCTACAGATGGTCAGATAATTACTGAAGCTGTATAATTAATGCTCAATATAACATTAGTAAGAGGTACCAAGCAGAGTACACTTTCATGATATCAAAAAAGAAATATAAATGTTTCAGCTTGTCTCCACTACATTTATAAATATAAATGTATTCCTTTCCTCTCCTCCTTCCCCTCCCCCCCCCCCTCCCCCCCCCCCCCCCCCCCCC